GACGGTTTCATTGCCGAAGGGCCTGCGTCAAAGGAGTTCCTTTCCTGAGCTGCAAGGCATAAACTTTCGTGTGAAAGCGAATGGATGCAGGGAGGTATACTCACCTCCACAACCAACAAGGATTTCACTGACAGACTTCCTGGTTGGTTGGTCAGTTGGTCATGTTGGTTCCAAGCGGCAACGGCCCAAAGAGCAAGGCATCCGCTTCAACAGGGCTTGAGTTCGCAGTGTGGGAATCTCCTTGGAATCTGGGAACAAGAATTCACTCAAGTATGAGGGAAACAAGACGAGAAAATCATAGAAATTCATAGAAATTCATTCTCCTGAGATCATAATTGTTTGAACTAATGACTGATGTGCAGGAACTCAGATTTACCCTGCCTGCTTGGTGACCTGCTGTATCAAGTGGGGCAACACTGTGCTGCGTAACCCCAGTGGTTGCCGGCAGGGCTTCGCGTCCTGCTTCAAACATTGTGACTGATCCAACTTCAATGTTCTCGTTCTTCATGATCATCCTCCACACCTAGAGGCCTTACAATCTCAACGTGACTTTTATCAGTTGAGAAACAAGAAGCGTATAGAATTTCTCTCTAAAACGCCCGAGACATCTCCTTTGACCCTGAGCTTTGCCCCAGAAACCTGGCAGGCTCCCTGTGCAGCTGAGTGGCTTGCACGCTTGGCCGCTGGCTCAGGACCTGGCCACGACTGAACCAGCTGGCTTCCTCCCGCTATGAAGAATTGCATGACTGGAGTACAAGATATTATGAAAAAAACAATCTGAGTGGCGGACAAAAATTCCTTTCACTAGAAAAGGACATGGCTAAAGTGGAAGGTCCCCTATCATAAGTATCAGTAAGTGGGTGGTCCTCTATCGGTTGTGAAGGGTTTGATGCACGTTTCAACATCCCAAGTCCGCTTCCTATTACTTTTGTCTTCTGATAATTTTGTAGGTTACTCGCATGATGAACATTCACAAAGTCTCAAGTTTTGGAAGTTTGGTCTTCTGAATTCTTCTGATGTCAACCAAACAAAAACTGATTCAGACTGATTCTGCGTTTTCCCACCTTCGACAGCTCGTACCGTTGGGAAGAATTGCCTTGCCCCTTCGAGTCCTTCGAGTCCTCCAAGCGCCCGTGCCCAGCGCTGCGAATTGAGGCTATAGCGTCCTGCAGCTGGGACAAAGAGCGACCTGTTTCGCCGTTTTGTGGTGACTGGACCAGTGACTGGATCAAGTCGTGTGCAATCTGGTTGCCAAAATGGAGTTTACTCAAAAAGACAATGTATAGAGCTTGATGGTCAAATCATTCAAGTTCAAAGTATGCTATTGTATGCTGTGATACAAGCCAGTGATTGTTCATAACTCTTCAGTGGAAAGGTTTATGCAATGGAAACAAACAAACGCTGTCCACGCCTGTCACTCCCTCGTTGGCCAGCCTATCTGCCAGCTCCTTAATTATAGGGAGATCATGACATTCAAAGCTGGAATTGGACTGAACATATCATTCTAGAAAAGGAATCATTCTGCAGCACTCAGAATTTCGAGATCGAAGCGCAGAGTGCTGATCCAAGCTTCGTTCCCTGTATCACCTGTGTGGCCTTGAACCCACTCGAGATCCACTTTCCTTTGTGCTGAAACTTGTCTCCACAAATTCTGTACTTTCTCGGCCAAGATCTGATTCTTGTGGGCTTTGTTCTCTCCAACTGCCACCTGCAAGGTTTAAAAACTAGCCCTAAACGACCCGCCCGTGCAGAAGCAAAAAGGTTCAAAGACCAGCAAAATCAGCAAAGTCGGGTCCGTGAGTAACATTTAGATATGCAACAAACACAAAGCATTACAAAGCGTCTTTTTTGTGCACTTCAAATACTGTCAATCAGGGCTCAATCTAAAGGCTGTGATTCTACAGGATATCTTGGGACCGTTCAAGGCCATTTTTATAATATGTTTATATAGTTTTATACTATTGTGCCACTGGCACAACTGGTAGCCTGCATGCCGGGGTTCCCATAACCCCCCCGCCATTTTGGATGAGTTTTGAATGAGAATCTGACACCGGCAACTGGCCGGCAAAGCCCAACCTTCTTGGCATACTGCGAATCATAGTGAAGTACTGCCGATATCGCCGCGACCGCCGGCTCTGGTGCTTCATCCCGCAGCCAGAATAGAGCCTGCCGAAGTGAGCAAGCCACTCAATGGGGACCATCTTTCGGATGAGACAGAAGGCATGGAGTGTTTATCTAATATTGGCCATTGTGATCCATTGATATATCCATTGTCTAATATTGTCTATCATTCTCTCATCCAAAATGGTTCACAATAAAATGGAAATGGAACTGTGTTCATCTGACACATTGCCTCTCCAAAGGCGGACAGCTCTGCGGTGTTGTTGGAGCCGACCTGACGCATGCGAATACTTGAAGCAAAACGACGGAAATCACAGGGGGAAGAGATCTTCGGCATGAACAACAAGGACAATATGAACAACATGAACAACATGAACAGCACTGCTAAAGGAGACCAAATCTGTTAGAGGGAGCTGGTTTATATATATATATATACATGCTATGGAAGTACAATGTTGGTTTGACATAATCTCTCTGTGTGTAGTTGCATCTGAACAAGTACTGTAAGTACTTCCAAGCGTTCGCGTACAGTAGCTAGTCTTGAAGGGAGAATCCCTCCCTGCAACTTGTAATCTTCCAAAAACTTACTTGAATCCTTTCGCAAACCTTAGTAGACTCTAATTTTATCTAATTTTCACATGTTGTGAACTCTTTTCTAGTCAAATGCAGAGCACCTAGAGTATATGTACCACAGGCATTGCCAACACGCAGAAAGCACCTCTGCACCCAGGCTCAACGGGGAGGAGTGGTCCACCACCACTGGCCCATACAATGAACGAAAGAGCCGCATCGGTTTATCTGGCCTCAGCTGAAAACATCTGACACATGTCTCATCATGTCTCATCATTTCTCATCATTTGTCATGCTGTTTTCGTTGTTTTGTATATTGACTGACTGCATTGACTGACTGCACCCGAGTGCCAACATCCTCTTGCAACATCTTGCAATCATGCTGAGGTCACGACGCACGCAAGTAAATGGCCACACCCCAGCCCGCAGGATGATGCGTGCTCTGGACGTTTTCTGGGCACCGCAACATCCGCAACAAAAATCATGACAGGCCATGACGGGCCATGACAGGCCACCGTGCACAGCAGCGACTTTTTTTTTGTTTCAGCCAAGCCACGATTGCTAGGACAGGCACCATCCACGTAAAGATGCCACACTTCACCTGTGAGAAATGGCAGAAATGGTGATGGATAAATGCAATGTTCCTTATTGAGTCTTTGGGCCAACCAATTTGCGAGAATATTTGCATCGGTTTGCATCTCATAGTTGAGATTGCCTGGTTGCGGTCCAGGTTGTGGCTGTTGAGCTGGCACCGATGTCCATATGCGGGGAGTGTCCTGCCAAAAACTATGTCCCTCAGGTGGTAGCCTTTCCATTTTCCATCCGTGCATTCCATGCGTTGCTCTGCCATACTTTGCCAAACCGATCCTGCCAAACGGTAATATGTAGTGAAAAATATGTGAAAATCTGTGAAAATCAGATCAAACTTTCATGTTTTCACTGCTTGTTTGGATCAAATTTTAACCAAACAAGATCAAAGAAGTTTCATGGACACGTTTCAAGCCTGGGCAGACACCTGCGGCACCTTCTTGGACACTATGGTGACCTGGAAACATGACAGCATGCTTCGCCTGTCCAAAAGCTCGACTAAAGGTCTTGGAAGGCTGATTATATCAATATATATATATATACATACATTTATATGTATATATATATATGTGTGGGCCACGGTCAATATTTGGTATATAGCTCCAAGGCATCAATTTTTGAAGAGTGTATTGTCGTTTTTCCGGTCTTGGTATATAAGCAAATGTTATCGTTTTTTGAAGAGTGTATTGTCGTTTTCTAAGCCCCAGCTCAATTTCCAAAAAAAAAGGTGGGCCAGAGAACCCAAAAGCAAGACGGCACACAGCACGCCTTTTCTTGAAAATCTTGGGGTGTGGCCAGCTGTGCTCTGCACGAAATCGACGTAAGATCTTTACTTAAACATCGTGCGCACTGATGGTATCAGGGGCCACGATTCACCACAGCATGCTGTGTCAGCTACGCCTACAGTCTTCTAGTCGCTATTTCTGTTAATGTAATTAACTCTATCCCATCTGTCTAGTCGCTATCTATTTCTGCGTTCTCGTTTAGTTTGCTTCGCCGCAGAGGGAGCGAGCACGAAGCGTGGACGGACAGAACGAAATGAAAATTAAACGACAGAGGGAGCTGACCAAAAGAGCATGAAAACGAAGATATATATGAAGGTGACAGATGGCAAATGATCATGAAAAATGAGACATGATAAAAGATGGGTAAAGACTTCTCTGTACAAAAGCTTCTTTGCATAAAAGCTTCTGCAAGTAAAAGCTTCTGTGGGCAAGAACTTCTCTGTGTAAAGGTTTTTGGTGTAAAAGCTCTTGTGTGTAAAATCTTCTGTGTAAAACGCGCTCTGTGTCTAAAAGTTTCTGTTTGCGAAAGTTTCTTTGCGTACCAGCTTCTGTCTGTAAAAGCTCCTCTGTGTTAAGGCTTTGTTTGTGTAAAGCTTCTGTGTGCAAAAGCTTCTCTGTGTAAAAGACTTCTCTGTGTCAAAGCCTCTGAGTGTACAAGCTTCTCTGTGTAAAAGTTCCTCTGTGTAAAAGCTCCTCTGTGAAAAAGCCGCTCTGTGTAAAAGGCTTCTGTGTGTAAAAGCCTCTGTGTGTGCAAGCTTCTCTGTGTCAAGACTTCTTTGTGTAAAGATTTCTCTGTGTAAAAACTACTCTGTGTAAACGCTTCCGTGTAAACTCTTTCCTGTGTAAACGCCTCCGTGTGTAAAGACTTCTCTGTGTAAACCCGTCTGTGTGTAAAAGCTCCTTTGTTTAAAGGTTTTTTTGTGTTAAAAGCTTCTGTGTGTAAAACCTTCGTAAAAGTTTCTGTGTGTAAAAGCTTCTGTGTGTAAAGGTTTCTGTGTGTAAAAGCTTGTGTGTATTAAAAACCCTTATGTAAAAGCTTCTGTGTAAAAAGGCCCCCTGTGTGTACAAGCTTCGCTGCGTAAAAGCCGCTCTGTGTAAAAAATCTGTGCGCCGTAAAGTTGTCTGTTTGTAAAACCTCCTGTGTGTGTGTGAAAGCGTCTGTGTGTACAAGATTCTGTGTGCAAAAGCTCCTCTGTGCAAAGACTTCTCTGTGTAAACGCGTCTGTGCGTAAAGGCTTCTCTGTGTAAAGGCTTCTCTGTGTAAATGCGTCTGTGCGTAAAAGCTCCACTGTGTAAGACTTCTCGGTGTACAAAGCTTCTGTGTGTGAAAGTTTCTGTGTGTAAAAGCTTTCCTGTGTAAAAGTTTTCTTGTGCAAAAGCTCCTGTGTGAAAAACTTCTCTGTGTAAAGGCTTTTTTGTGTAAAAGCTTCTGTGTGTACAAGCTGCTCTGTGTTAAAGTTTCTGTGCGCCGAAAGAATGTCTATCTGTAACACCTTCTGTGTGTAAATCTCGTTTGTGTAAGGACTTCTCTCGTAAAAGCTCCTCTGTGTCAAGACTTCTTTGTACAAAAGGCTTCTCTCTGTAAAAGCCTTTGTGTGTACAGGCTTCTCTGTCTCAAGAGTTCTCTGTGTAAAGACTTCTGTGTGTAAAAGCTACTCTGTGCAAAAAAGCTTCTGTGCGTAAAGGCTTCTGTGTCAAGACTCCTCTGTGTCTGTGTAAACGCGTCTGTGTGTCAAAGTTTCTGTGTAAAGGCTTTTTTTGTGTAAAAGCTTCTCTGTGCATGTCCCATTTTTCAGCCTTTGCAAACCGTTTGACCGGTCTTGGGACCATTTGACCAGTCTTGGGTCCACAATTTTTTCAGGCCAATCGCAATGATGGCATTTGTCCTGAAAAAACCCGTGCCAACAGTTCTGCCGCAAACTATTTTCAAGGTTTCCTATCCGTCCAGCATGCTGTCTCGCTCCCATCCAGCGCACTTTCCCCAAGCTATTTTCCACGGTTTTGTCCCGTCCAGCATGCTGTCCCGCTCCCTCCCCGCGCAGTTTCCCGAAGCTATTTCCACGGTTTTGTCCCGTCCAGCATCCGGTCTCGCTCCCTCCCAGCGAAGTTTCCCAAGCTATTTTCCACGGTTTTGTCCCGTCCAGCATGCTGTCTCGCTCCCTCCCAGCGAAGTTTCCCCAAGCTATTTCCACGGCTTCATCCCGTCCAGCATCCAGTCTCGCTCCCTCCCAGCGAAGTTTCCCCAAGCTATTTCCACGGCTTCATCCCGTCCAGCATCCGGTCTCGCTCCTTCCCAGCGAAGTTTCCCCAAGCTATTTCCACGGCTTCATCCCGTCCAGCATCCGGTCTCGCTCCCTCCCAGCGAAGTTTCCCCAAGCTATTTCCACGGCTTCATCCCGTCGAGCATCCGGTCTCGCTTCCTCCCAGCGCAGTTTCCCCAAGCTATTTCCACGGCTTCATCCCGTCGAGCATCCGGTCTCGCTCCCTCCCAGCGAAGTTTCCCCAAGCTATTTCCACGGCTTCATCCCGTCCAGCATCCGGTCTCGCTCCCTCCCAGCGAAGTTTCCCCAAGCTATTTCCACGGCTTCATCCCGTCCAGCATCCGGTCTCGCTCCCTCCCAGCGAAGTTTCCCCAAGCTATTTCCACGGCTTCATCCCGTCCAGCATCCGGTCTCGCTCCTCCCAGCGCAGTTTCCCCAAGCTATTTCCACGGCTTCATCCCGTCGAGCATCCGGTCTCGCTCCCTCCCAGCGCAGTTTCCCCAAGCTATTTCCACGGCTTCATCCCGTCGAGCATCCGGTCTCGCTCCCTCCCAGCGAAGTTTCCCCAAGCTATTTCCACGGCTTCATCCCGTCCAGCATCCGGTCTCGCTCCCTCCCAGCGAAGTTTCCCCAAGCTATTTCCACGGCTTCATCCCGTCGAGCATCCGGTCTCGCTCCCTCCCAGCGAAGTTTCCCCAAGCTATTTCCACGGCTTCATCCCGTCGAGCATCCGGTCTCGCTCCCTCCCAGCGAAGTTTCCCCAAGTATTTCCCCAAAGCTATTTCCCACGCTTTTCATCCCGTCGATCCATCCCGGTCTCGCTCCCCCTCCCATCGAAAGTTGTCCCCAAGCTATTTCCACGGCTTCATCCCGTCGAGCATCCGGTCTCGCTCCCTCCCAGCGAAGTTTCCCCAAGCTATTTCCACGGCTTCATCCCGTCGAGCATCCGGTCTCGCTCCCTCCCAGCGAAGTTTACCCAAGCTATTTCCACGGCTTCATCCCGTTCCACGGCTTCATCCCGTCGAGCATCCGGTCTCGCTCCCCTGGGGTGGATTTAGTAAGGTTCTTTGCGCTGATTGGTGGTGCTTCTATGTTTTAAGACATGGTTATAGAGTTGGTTTTTAACATATGTTACAAGTCATTCAGGGATATGTATGTGTTGCCCAAAACTCTCTTGATTTAACATATTGGAGAAAACGTATTGCTTCAAACATGTTTGTCTTGTTTAGATGTTACTGTTTCCATGATCGACTCATGTAAATTCATATGTCACATGCCTTGCCGAAGGCTAAACCCTCCTGAGCAAAGATCATTTACCAGCGTTTCCATAATGAATTCAGATTTCCTGTCCTGGCCAAGGAGGTACACCTTCCTGAGCAAGGATTTCATTCACAAGTTTTCATTATCACACCTCCTGACCAGGACCAAGGAGGTGCACGCAACAATCATTGACATGTTTTCATTATCCATCAGTGTCCTGACCAAGGAGGTGCACCCTCCTGAGCAAGGATCATTGACATTCATCATATAAGCTTCCTTGGCCAAGGAGGTACACACTCCTGAGAAAAGTGTTTTGTGAACTTCTTCTTTTTTTTTGCCACGCTCATTGCGCAGAGAGGCTTCTATAGTTTCCTGGACAATTGGTCAACACCAGCAGCTACTAGGGGGAAGTCACGCAAGGAGGCTCCTTAGGTCTCCTGTGTCAGTAGCAGCGTTTTCTCAACCAATGTTTTCAGCCATGTGTCAGACGAGCCAAGCGACAAGATTTGGCCAGCTCCTCATGCCGGTGAGCCCAAAGAGGTCGACTTTGTTTTGCAATTCTGAGAAGCCATGGAAGCAGGATGCAGCAACCTCAGCCCAGATGGTTCAACAGCAGCTTCTCCGCAGGGTGGGCTCAAAGACAAGCATGGCTATTTGATGAACAGCGCATCTTGACTGCCGCCAGAAGTTTCGACTCGTTTTGCTCAAGTTTTGTTACTAAACTAAACCCCTATGTTTAACACTGACAGCTGAGAACTCGGAGACACGCCAGTTAGCCAAAAAGATCCGAGCAGAGCTGCGCTGTTGAAGCTGCTATTTCCCAGACTGAGATTCAGATACTTGCTGAAGATCATTTTTGGACGTCGCATCTGACCGTTGTCCGGAGTGTATCAACGTCTCATCGCCGCAGGGGGGACGCGGGTGAGGGGAAAAAATGGCCGAAGGGGTCACTTTGAACGGTGGCTGAGTGTCATTCAGTAATTTCTTTCATGGCGGCAGCCAGCTTGGCAGGCTTTCCTATCAGTTGATCAGTCATTATTATTGTTAGCTGCAAGCCGCACACATTTCCCTTTCTGCTTGGCCGGCTCAAACCTAGGGATCAGCAAGTATGTCAGAGCAGTTGGGCAACTGTTCGCTTGGCGGCTATGATGATGATGCACATGTGAAAGCTTGCTCTGCAGGTGCAAAATGTGCTCGATGCACATGGGTGAAATATAAGCCTGTATGGCAGAAAGAATTAGCATGGTTGGACGCCAAAATGAATATGGAGAGTGGCAGTTGGGGCTTGGGCTGCCGACTGTGCCATGATGCTCAGGAAGTGAGTCCTGAAGCCATGTCCAAGTTTCCGGTTTCCAGGCATCACTTGCAAGGTATGAAGTGAACAGTGGTGACATTCGTGTGGCTCGTTTCCGCAAACATGCTGCTTCGCCTGCTCACCGCACTGCTGAAAGCTACCTATCTCCTGTGTGTCAGTGCCACCCGCCCAACTCAAGCAAACTCGTCCACGAAGGAGGTTCAAGCGAAGTCTCCTGTGCGCGACGACGGAAGAGAAAAGGTGAAATTGTTTTCGGCAACTTTGATTGCAGAAGGAGTGTCAAGAGCCTCCTGTCCTGCTGCAACTACGGCTGTCAATTGGCATGCGCTGCAATAGCAATCAAGGAGGCTCCAGTAGACTCCTGCAAGGACGGAGGCATCGTACTTCTGAATTCACTCAGTAACAAGGCACAAGGAGGTGCAAGAGGTCTCCTGGTCCTGTACAGGCCGAACGTTTCATGTTGCAAGGAGGCTTCTGCAGTCTCCTGTTGTCTATTTTTGCCTTCCGCGGGCAGCAAGTTGAGTTAAAAAAGATCGCTACTAAGGCCTCTCCCTACTATTTCCAGGAAGCAGTTCGACCGCCATGTGTTGCATGTGTTCACCATGTACAGCATGGCAGGCAAATACGCGTTTGGCCGCCGTGTTCGTACACGGTTTACCATGTGCTAACATGGCAGCCTCCTTTCTTTATCAAGGAGGCTGCGCCATGTTAGTGCACGGTCTGCCAGGTGGTAGCACGGCAGGCAAATACGCGTTTGGCCGCCGTGTTCTTACACGGTTGACCATGTGCTAACATGGCAGTCCTGGTCTTTGAACTCTCCAGAGGACCCGAATTTAGTACGGGTCATGAGCATGGCAGCCAAATACGCGTTGACTCTTGCAGCTGGCCCGAATTTAGTACGGGTCACGAGCATGGCAGTCAAATACGCGTTGAATGCTGCAGTTGGCCCGAATTTAGTACGGGTCACACGCATGGCATGGTACAACCGTCTTGATTTTAGCAGGAGACATTTTAAGATCCTTGCAGTCCTGGCCCAGCTGTGAGTGTACCTCCAACTTAGTTATTACTTCCCACGGCTGAGTTTCTGCAGAGTGGGTATTCGCCGAGACGTGCAAGTGAAGCACTTTGAGTGGCCAGTGCCTTTCAAGGAGCGGCTCACGCTCAAGCAGCTCCTTGGCAATCCTGCCATGGAATGGAAGTGCAACTTGCGGGAGAAGACACACGATGTCGACGGCTCAGCTCTATCCAGCACAGCCCGCAAGAACTTGATCCAGTTTCAAGACTTTTTGGACAAGAATCCGGCCAAACAAGACTCTGACTTCATTGTCGACACAGGCGGTTCTTCAGCAACTTTGATGGAGGACAAATGCCCCTGCCTCACTGCCACCAGATGCAAAGGAAAGCATTGCTACTGGTGGCATCAAGGCCAGAGGTTCCTCACCCCGATAGTTTTTTTTGCTTCAAGGCGTGTGGCCTGGGGCCTACAAGCCTGGAGATGTTGAAGAACTTCAACGTTTTCCACAAAGGGTATTAGGACATATGATTGGCAACGCCATGTCTGTTTGTGTAGTGCGACGCTTAGTGCGATGCATTTTCCAAGCACGTGGCATTCTTTGAAGAATAGGCGGCATGTTTCCAGTTTGACCTGTTGAAAATCATTTGAGTCAGCTGCGCTAGCCGTGGTTACCACATTGCTTGCACATTCAGTGCTGAACATTGCCGCAATGCAATTCAACCTCGGTTTTGCTTTGTCCATCGCATCGACCCATTCGACCCAGGTTTTGGCTCACAAAACTAGTCTAACCTGCAACATGGCAGCAGCAGGTGAGAAGAGATTGCCCCAAGGTGTCCTCAACAGAGCTGACTTGCAGTTGGGCGTCCAAGCCTTCTTGCTGTGGGATCCAGCTCTCAAGGAGAAGAGCGCGTTTGAGCTGGAAAATGCTCGTGAGGCTTTGATTTTTTGCCAGCCTTTCTTCAAGGAAGACCGCACCAGGTCATGTGCGCTTGCCTGTGCCATCATGTTTTTCACCATCCTTCAGATGACGCTGGACCGCCCTGGCACAGAGCCCACAGACTGTACATGGACCGCTCACCTTTACACCAGGTCTGGACAAATCCAGCCTATGCAAGAGAAGATCGAGAAATGTCCAGCTTTGACATCGCGCGACTTGCTTGCAGGAAAGGTTGGTGAGTTGGATAGCGCTGCTTCTTTTCTTTTGGGCGCCATCAACGCTATGCCTCATGACCTGCTGCCCCAGGCGCCGCATTTCGAAGGCTGTTTCGCTTGCCTGGACGACTTGTTGGTGCATATGAAGTTTCGACTTCACCAAAGTTCTTCTGCTAGTTAGGTTCGAGACCGAGGCATGTGAGCTGAACAAATGTCCTTTGGTGCTGCTCGCTTTCGCATAAACACAGTGGCCCCGAGAACGACCCGGAAACTTTCAAGGAGGACATCGCCCTTAATATCGAAACCTCCTGTAACGCCAAAGTTATTGATTGATCATAGCTCGACAGACATTATAAGGAAGGCCTTGCAAGGTCTCCTGCGCACAAGCCTGTTTTCAAGGAGGTGTTGCCTCCTTTGTTAAAATTTATGGGAGGCGCTGCTGTAAAGTTTGTGGAGGGCGCCACCGCGCAGAGCGCGGAGGGGCTCTGTGCCACAACAAAAACACCAGAATCACCTACTATACACATCGGATCTTTGCACAGTGATGCTTAGCATCAGTCATATTTGTTTTTTAGTTATAACTGATCGATTTGTAAACATCCGGAACACCATTCTTCAGTTTTAAATCCACATTACCACCCACTAAATAAAAGCAACGCCAATCACTTCATCACAGAAGCACCATCAATCAGCACAAAGAACCTTACTAAATCCACCCCAGTCCCTCCAAGCGAAGTTTCCCCAAGATATTTCCCCAAGCTATTTCCACGGCTTCATCCCG